CTAGGGGCACGTACCTCGGTTGCAGTTTGTCCCCAGCCCTGGTTGGGTCGTGTGGGTGGCAGCCACTCGAAGTGTCCTTTTTCACGTCGATGTTTCTCTCTCTCTCTCTCTCTCTCTCTCTCTCTCTCTCTCTCTCTCTCTTCCTCTCTCTCCCTCCCACTCTATCCGAACAACAAAAAAATGGAAAAATGTCACAAATAAGCAAAAGGAGAAAGCTGGAATGAATCCTGTGGTGCTGGATCAGGAGCTGGAGATACCAGTATAAACTCGGGTTCATTTTAAATATGTAGATAGACACAGAAATAATTATAGATTTGTGGTGTGTGCGCATGCATGGACACACCTATAGTCAACAAGAACATCCAACAGTCAAGTCTTGGATTCTAAATGTCATTTGCCTAAAGGAACAGGCTTGTTTGGAGAAACGGCTGCTTCTAGCTCTGGGGCAGAGAATTTACAAGATGAGCCAGGAGTATCTTGAAGTGACAGAAACTAGGGAAAGGCTAAGAGAGAAAAGAAGGGGGTCATGTTAAAAGACATGACTTCCAATGGTCAAAGCTAGAATACTTTGAACATCAAAAGAAATAATCACAGTAATTTTATTATAGTATTTTATTATACAAAAATAAAATACACATCCATGAGTCTTTATGAAAAAAATGATTGAAAGAGAAGTAATAAATCTTTCTTACATTAGAATTCCAAATAATATGTGAATATCCCCTCAAGGGAGTGGAACTTAATTCCTCTTCTCCATGAGCAAGGGTTGGACTTAGTGACTGATTTCCAAAGAATAGCATATGGAATTAAAAAGGAGTAGCTCTCCAATATACAAAGAACCTGACACTTACCATCTTAACCAAGTGATCAAGGTAAATACAACCAGTGATAAGTCATACTGGTGTCATGTCCCCACTGATGTGATGTAATGAGAAAGGCACTTCACTTCTGTGGTGTTCTTCCCCAGAAAATGACAATCCCAGTAAATTTATGGAAAACTATCAGATTTTTTTTCTTTATTGATGTTAGAGAGAGGAAGAGGGAGAGAGACATTGATGAGAGGGAACATCGATTGGCTGCCTCCTGCATGCCCCCCAACTGGGGATTTGGCCCTCAATCTGGGCATGTGCCCTGACCAGGAATCGAACTGGCAACCTCTTCGTGCATAGCTCAATGCTCAACCACTGAGCAACAGCAGCTGGGCAACTATCAGATTTTAATTGAGGGACATTCTACAAAATATCTGAGCAGTAGTCTTCCAAAATGTCAATGTCTAGGAAAACAAGGAAAGATTGAGAAACTATTACAGACTAAGGAGATAGGATGACTAAAATCTTTGCAGTGTCTTAGATTGGGTCCAGGAACAGAAAGGGGACATTAATAGATTATTAGGAAAACTGTGAAATCCAAATAAAGTCTACAATTTGGTTAATTGCATTGTACCAGTGTTAATTTCTTAGTTTTCATAAATTAATTTTGATTAGCAGGTTCTATGTAAGATGTTGACATTAGGGGAAGCCAGATAAAGGGTACACAGGAACTCTCTATTATTACTTTTGCAACTTTTCTGTAAATCTAAAATTACTCCAAAATTTTTAAAAGTATTGAAGTGTTCAAAGACATAAAAATGTTGTACAAATCTTACTAATTTGTACAGTTCATCTGTAAAATAAAAACTAATTTTCATAATTCAAACATATCAAGACTTATTCAAACTAAGTCAGTGATATAGAAAGAGAATTAAACACCACAAATACCAGTTTAAGATTATAGAAAAATCAGAAAAGTTTAAATGTATAAGCTCTTTATGTGTAACTAAAGATTCCATAATTTCTGCTTGGCTGGTGTAGCTCAGTGAATTGAGTGTTGTCCCATGGACTGAGAGATGCTGGTTCGATTCCCAGTCAGGGCAAATGCCTGGGTTTCAAGGCTGGATCCCCAGTAGGGGGTGTGCAGGAGGCAGCCAATCAATTGATGCTTCTCTCACACATCAATGTTTCTCTCTCTCTAAAAAAATCAATTAAAACCTATTTTTTTAAAAACAGATTCCACAATTTCTTTAAAAAGTCACATTTAAATGAAGAGAAGCTATCCTAACATCAGTTACTCCAGAGATAAATAGTAAGAAATTGTTGCCTACTGGCAAATAATGTGGACTTATTTTGCATATATATGGCCTAAAATAACCCAGACAGGGCATGGAAATATTCCCAATTTTCCTAAACACCCCATTATCAGTTCACACTCATTTAGATTCATCTTTGGCCTAATTCTATTTTCAGAATTTCCCAAAATTTAGCTACCATCCACTACTTTAATAATTAGTCTTGAAAGAATTTAAGATTTAAAACGAACACACACACATACACACACACACACACAAAATATACCTAAGCATAAACTGTGTATGCATGGGAGATGAGATTGGTGGTTTTCTTTTTGCTTGTTTTCAGAAGTGTTCTACAAGTGGATATAGTAGTCATCATTTGCCATAGTGTCTGGTATTGCAGAAATTCAATATTATTGACTGAATACTCACTCAACTGGCATTACTTTTACTATTAAAGGATCAACATGGGGATAGTCTCCCAGAACCTAGACCCAGCCACTGCCTGTAAAGGAACTGGGCCCAGTGGGGGGTATTGGGAGGAAAATGGGGGGTGGGGTTCCTGGGCAAAAGGCTCCAGCAGGAGCTGATACTCATAATTCTCTAGCAACAAGAGAATAATTTCTGTCTTCCCTGACTTGGACCACCTCTTCAAACTGAGGGTGGGGGTGGGGGATAGCATCCATAGAGTAGCTGAAACAGTCAGTGAAGACCAACTCCAGGGAGTTCCCCAGCGGCCACTGTGACAGCACACCCACAGGGAAACTCGTCATGCTCTCCCACCACCACACGGACACCAGAGTCACTTCCGCCTAGACATCCTGGAGGACAAGTGGTCAGCCCTGTGTATGACATCAGAACCAGCCTGCTCTGCATTCAGGTCCTGCTGGGGAGAACTCAACATCAATAGCTCTTTGAACACACATGCAGCAGTTCTGGAAACACCCACAATCTTTGAAAACCTGCAAGAGACCTACTCAGAGCAGGTCTCCCTCCAAGAGCCCTGACCAGGCTGCCCAGACTGCCTCCCTGTGTTGTCTTTATTTTCTCCCCAGATGGTCTCTCCTTTCTTTGATTTCTGTGTAGGACTCTATTATATTAAGCTGTGGTGTCATTTTTGTTTTGTTTTGTTTTTTAAATGTCTCCAATTGAGCCCTTGTAACAAAGACATTAAAGTTTTTAAAAAATCTAAGTGCCTGCTAAATTTTACAACTAATCACAAGTTTTATAATCTACAAAGACATTCAATTATAAGGATGAAAGGATTTTAAAAATAAACATCAATTCTATGATCAATCAGCACAGCTTATGTAGTAGACAAGGGGGTAAACCTCCCAAAGTTATATTTGGTCTTTCAGAAAAAAGTAAATAAGGCTCAAATATGTCTTTAAATAAATCAAGTAGATTTCACTTTGTAAGGGACTATTGACTGGAAAGTTTTAGAAATAACTTTTTCTATAATAGACTGAAACTTTTTTTCCATTTTTATTTTTGGCAATAATGTCAAATACTTTAAACCACTCCACTCCTTGACTTACACCAAAGTATACAGTGGTTAATAAGCACTTAAATTGTTTTAGTTTAACTACTACTTATCAAATACTTAATTAATGTGAATGTGTCTTAAATGTATTCCTTTTATGAGTTTAAAATTTCAATTTTTAAGGCAGAGAACCATATCGTTTCATTTTTATATCAAATAAGAAAGTAAATTATAGAATTGAGATAATTATATAAAGCTGTTAATTTTACTAGAGAAAATCGTATTTAAATCTTTACAATACACAAAATGTAACGTAACATGGCACCAAGGAACCAATTATTTCACAATTCCCACAATCCAGAATTACTCAAGAAACTGCTGATAGTACAGAAATTGGAAAAATAATAAAAAAATTTTTTTGAGAATTAGAGTATCTTGAGGACATAAGACTTTTCTTTGTTCAAATCCTTAAAAATACAATATCCTTATCCTTTTAAATATATTGATGTTGGTGTTCCGGGACAACCACAGAACCAAGGGTAAAGAAGACTAAGGTTTAAAAGGGTCCTGTCAAATGTTATGCAGCCTCAAGAAAGATCTCTTACTCCTTGAGATGACTTGGAGGGACCTGGAGAGTATTATGCTAAGCGAAATAAGCCAGTCAGAGAAAGACAAGTACCATATGATTTCACTTATTATGGAATACATGAACAAAATAAGCTGACGATCAAAACAGATCCAGAGACATGGAAGTAGGAAACAGATTGACAGACCTCAGAGAGAAGAGGGATGGGGGTAGAAGGTTACAGGAAGAGATAAACCAAAAAACTTATATGCATATATGCATAACCAATTGACACAGACAATAGAGTGGAGTGGAGCGGGAATGGGGAGGAGGGGGTCAATGAGGTAAAAAGTGGTGACCTCAGTAATACTTTCAATAAAGGTAAAAAATAAAATGAAAACGTCCTGTCAGAAGGATGACAAAGCTTGTACTTGGTTATGGATACAGCAGGTTAATGATTCAAAAGAGGAAATTCTACCCAATTGGATATTTCAGTCTGTTTGGAGTTTAGAAATTACAGCCAGCATTTTCTAAACATATTAAAGCTTTTTGTATTAGGAGCTTACATATAGGGAAAAGACAAGAAACACTTAGATTTTATGATTTAAAAGTGATAGAAATAAATTTATAAAACTTACCTTCATAGTAATATAGTTATGGCATGCTTCTGATATTTAATACCAAAACAGTTTAAAAAGAAAAACAAGAACAGGAGTTAAAAGCGATCCCTGTATCAAGCATTTGACAACAAAAGTCTTCCCATCTTTAGTTTCTATGATCTTCACTGGAAAAAAGTTCAGAATGAACTGTACCTAAATCTTCTTTTTTATAAAGAAGAATTAGTAATAAATGATATCTCTTAAGTTCCAACTGACTATAAATTGTTTTTTGAAGCAGGAGTCTATCAAAAGCATTAAGATAACATCAATAAAATATTAAGAGTTAATAAGAATACACTTGTATCTGGTGCAAATTTAATTTTATTAAACCTTACAATGAATGTTGTGGCATATCATTTTCCATTGTGTGACAATTTATTGGCTGGCACCTGAATACAGTACTTCTTCTGAAAAATACACAATGGGAACTGACAAAAGGGAGAGAAACTAGTTGTTTAATGACATATAAGGGGGGAAAAAGGTGATGACCAATTATTTTAGCTTCCTTAGTATCTAACTCTAAAATGGTTAAAGTTCCAAGCAATAATGCTGTTACAGTGCACAAGAATGGTTATCTCATTCAGCCCCAACAATGCTGAGAAATTAATTTACAAGGATTATTATACCTGTAAAATTCAACCAAAGGTTTCTGCTGGGCAATATGATTTTAAAGAACTACTTTTTCAAATATAGCCTTAACAATTTTCCAAAGTCACAGTAGATGGGGGGGTCTCTAAAATATTATGCATTAGGTAGTCACTTAAAAAGTGAGCAATTACTGAACTTCAAAATCATACCGGGTAACAAATCATCTCTTGCTGATTTGGGCTTATGAGCCTGTCATATTTATAGATAAGAAAATGACAGTCTTTTACATCTATAATCCACTTGTCTTTATAAAGTAGATTAGTATCAAATCTGAGTTAAGTGACCACTTCTTCTACAGTAATGATTACTAGTGGAACATCTAAAATTCAGCAGGCCTTAACAGGGCATTTTTATAGAAATGTAATAAAAACTTACATATTAACTCCAGCCAACATCAACATGCTACAGTGTAAAGTTTAGATGGACTCAAATGAGTACAATTAGCTCATTAAGTATTAAATTACTCATCTGTGGTTTAAAAAATTTTTAATTTTATTCAGTCTCAACAATTTTAAGAATATTTTCTGACAAAGGCCTAAACAGTGTCTGAGGTCACATTTATTAACCAACCGCCTCTAAAAATCATGGACAATTTTTAGCTATTAAACGAACTGATTTTTCAATCATTCCTAATGGCATTTGGGGAGATGGCAAACAAAGAATTGCATCCTAAGTGAAATAAGGCATTTCAGTTATCAAGACTGAGAAATAGTTCTAAGTTATCTATATTTAGTGGTGGAAAATGCTAAGTAAAGAAATTCTTATTTTATACTCGAGTTGTACAATTCAAGTTCACCTATAAAACAGTGTGAGATGTGCCTTACTATATATAAGAGCATGTAGGCCCTCCTACCCCCTCCCAAAAAAAGAGGAAATAGTAAATCACTGAAAAATCTAATTGCTCACCTTTTACCCCAAATTACTGAGATCAACCAATGCAGATTTATTTTATTGGCAAAGGTTTCCTTTTTTTAAAAAAGGTAGCACATGCAAATATAATTCTTAATATATGTGGCAGTTCAAATATTTCATCAAATGTGCCCATGGTAAATATTAAAATCTCTTCATCTAAAGGTTGGCGAGTGACCATTTAAATCCAATTCACTTTTTTTTTAGTGGTGAGATTAAATTTACAATCTAGTAAAACAAGTCAGGATATCTTCTTAAAAATTAAACCTCAATTATTTAGCCACAAAGTCTAACACTGTTTTGTTTACTACTCTCCATCACAAGTTTTTTTTACTAAATAAAGATGAGATAGAAATAAACAGATGAAATAAACCTAATGTGACTATTTGCAATGATGACTCCTCAAATACCATTACATCAACCCTCAGAATAAAAATGTCAACACAAAAAGCCAAGTGATCCAGCTCACTAAACTCACAGGTAAACTGAGTTTTTCTCAAACCAATAAGGAGTTTTTATTTATCACAATTTCATTAAGTAAGACATTTGCAGGGCAAATATGCCATCATAAACTTTATTCTGAATAACAATAAAGTGCTGAATGATAATTACCTGAATCTTTTTTAGTACTTTTTATTTATCTTAAGTTAAAAGAGCCCTTTCTGTGGCATTAGCAAAGCTGTTTAAAAAAAACATAAAAAAAAAACAAAAAGGGGAAAGAAAAGTTCACTTTCAGTAAGGGAAAAAGGAAGCGCTGCAACCTTTTGTGTTTAACTATGGTGACAAATAATTGAGACCAAAATAATTCATGCAAGTTATCTTTAAAGGTATACTGAAGCTTGAAGAAAGAAAGAACACTGTTACTGACCATTGATACTATGGCAGTAAATTGCATACTAAAATACCTTAATTATCCTAGATGTCTAGATCTGGCTTGGCAAGCATCATGCCACTGACATGCTTTAGCTCTTTTTGTAACTAAAAGTAGTTTGCAGTTCAATTACTGAATATTTCAATGTGGCTGATTAAGCTGTATGATAAACTTCAGGTTAAATTTAAGCGAATTCTCTACACCTAATCACATCATCAGCACAAGCAGAACAATGCTGGCGCAGCATGAAAGGTGGGTCGCTTTAAAAAGATTCTTCCTTTTACTGCATGATATATTAAGATGACAGACCTAAATTTCAACTGGGTTAATGAGTTAGAATAGATTTGTTTCCCAAATTTAGCACACAATAATTTCAGTGGATTAGAGAAAGAAATCTCAGATGTAAAAAAATAAAATAAAAATAAAAAGCTTGAGTTCAGGTAGCTAACCAATAGCTCTAAAAATCGTCATGCTACAAGAGTACTTTCATAAAATGAACTTTGTGACAAACTCAACAGTGTTTTGAGTTGAAGTTGACCAATTGCTGCATAGAAAGTATGCTAACATACAACAGTCAAGTTTAAGCCGGTGCGTAGAGAAGATAAAGCACTTATGGTAACTGCATATGATAACAAGTCCATAAAGTTTGTACAACCTAGCATGGGTCCATAAAGGGGTAGGGGGATGGATGATAAGTAGAATGGTTAGGGGGAAAAAAGTGGAAATGGGAGAAGCTTGGAAAAGAGAAGGAAGAAGCAGAAAAGAAAGACCTTCAATTGTATAAAATTCACAAACCAAAAGAGTATAATGATACCACTGAATGGTTAACTCTGTCCCAAACACCCAACAGCAAACAAAACCAGAATGAATAAGCCTTTGGCAGACAATTTTAGAAATTTGAATTATGACATTACATTTCTCAATAATTCACAAACAATATATTATATGGTACATTTATATTAAATACTGGGAAACCAATCCTGTAAATTTGATGCTTATAATGCTTTAGCCAATGAGAGCACGAGGATATCAAGCTAAATGAATGCTGGTGTTATCACAACAGTGCTCATTTATGAAACAACTGTTAACAATTCGTGCTTTAACAGTGCTAAAATACAGTCAAATTATCATCTATGAAGTGAAACAAAGGTCTCTAGCTTTTCTGGAATATGCCCCTTATAATATATTCTATGATTCACTATGACACGAGCAGCAAGACACTGCAACGTGGTATGATTTATGGGCTGGATCAAATTTTTAGCTATTTCTTTCTCGTCCAACAAGTCACTAGCAGTTTGTTTGTGCAAGTTTGTGGCATCAAAATGTGCACCTGATTTGATAAGGAGATTCATGATGTCTGGATGGTTGTTCAAAGCAGCAATATGTAAGGGACTGTTGTCATCGGAGTCTCTGACGTTCACATCAGCACCACATTCTATCAGTATGGCAGTAACTTGCAGAGATGGAAACTTACAAACAGGGTAGCGCCCTACACATGTAGTATTCTTGTCCACAGCCAGATGAAGAGGGCTGAAGTTATTCTTTCCCCTTGGATGCAGCTTAAGAAATCTGTATATAGTCTGCTTTTTGAAATGGTCCTGTTCTAGAGTACAAGGAACTTTTTCTAACAAGCAAATTAAGTGCAAAATGATGGAAAGAGCTTTATTTAACTGTAATGGGTCAGCTGGACACTGAGTCTGTTTGATTGCTCGCTCTATTTCAAGGACACTTTTGCACAATATGCCCATAAGATCATCAAATGTAACAGTGGTGCCCAGCAGGCCTTTAGCCCTATCCTGTAGCATAAAAGAGAACAGTTCTGCAAAAGATAATAAGCTGCTGGCGGTCATGGGGCTTAAAGGGTCCAAATTGTTCTGCTGCATATCCAAAGCATACTTCCAAAGGTTGATGCATCGTTTGAAATTTCCAGAGTCTGCATAGACAGCACCTCTATATCTAATATAGTAAGAGGTATCAGGATGAGAAGGACCAAGAATACGTTCTCTAATTAATAGTGCCTGCATTCTCATCTCATCAGGATCAGCAATAAGACCTTCTAGCTCTTCTGAACTGTTTACCTCCTTGGCATAATCATAAGCCATTATTAGTGTCTGAGGCACTGGTTTGCTAATTATATTAGTCCGATCACTGTACCTCATGTTCATTGCCTTTTTCCAGTATTTTAAAGCCCCAAGTAGATCTCTTTTTTTGTCTACAAATGTAGCTCCCAGAAGCTCTAAAGCATTGATCCGCTCTGTCTTGCTGGTCTGTGCATGGTGAGTCAGAAAATCCACAATATTTGTGTGACCGGTCACACTTGCTGAGAGAAGGGGAGTCATTCCATAACCATCCTTTTCCATCTTGGCACAATACATAAGAAGCATCTTCATGATGTCCAAACTTCCAGATTCTGCGCAATCATGCAATGCAGTATTACCTTAAAGGGAGGAAAAGAGAAAAAATACTTTGAGGGACCAGGATTCAGTGTAATACATGCATATACTTTAGAACCTACAGAACAACAGGCAGCTCCAAGCCATCCTAGATGGGACATACTTTAATGTGATTACAAATAAAATAAAAAACCCAATACCCAGCACCTAAAACTAGTGTCTGACACAAAGCAACTTGTTAAATTTGCTGAATAAATGAAATGACCAAATTAGGCATGAAAAGATATCTAAGGATGAAATTCAAAATTAATCCATGGCCTCTTGGTATTTTTAAATAATGTTTTCAAGTGCATATTCTATAACTAAAACTTGATGAGGTGAAATTAACCAGAAATTCAGTTTTACTGATAGTCGCTTAACTTCCTGGGTCAGCTTCCACATTTGGAAATGAGAAATCTAGTCTATAATATCTAAGATTATCCTATTTGATTCTAATAGGAATCAAAATTATTTTTTCATCATTTCTGATTGCCAAAAGAACTCACTATTTTAGTAAAAATTCTTCGTAACCAAGTACTTTCCTCAAAAGCTTCCTAAGAAAAACAAGTCCACTGAAATCTGAAAAATGTGTGGGTGGTTCAATATGAACTTTAAAAGGAGACATCTGAAATGTCCTTTCATAATAGATTATTTCCCATTGTAACTTAATTTTTAAACAATCTTTTTGGATGTACTGAATGTTCTAACACTGTCTTGTTCTTCCCACATAATAAACTGACAACAGGCACTGGCACATTGGTAAAAACCTACATGGAACATATTAGACATTATCACCACCCAAGCATTTTAGCTACCTAAGTTTAATAATAGCCCTGGCCGGTTTGGTTCAGCGGTTAGAGCGTCGGCCTGTGGTCCTGAGAGACCTGGGTTCGGTTCCCGCTAGGGGCACGTACCTCGGTTGCAGTTTGTCCCCGGCCCTGGTCAGTTGTGTGGGTGGCAGCCACTCGATGTGTTCCTTTCACATCGATGTTTCTCTCTCTCTCTCTGTTCCTCTCTCTCCCTCCCACTCTACCTGAACAAAAAATGGAAAAATGTCCTCGGGTGAGGATAAAAAAAAAAAATAATAATAATAATAATAAAAAACATTTTACTAATTATCAAACAAAAATCATCATGCAGACCTTTGACACTCACATACAATGTTTAGAGAAAATTTCAACAGTCATTTTAGGTATGTATGTGGAAAAAAGTTAACATAGCTGACTGAGACAGCTATCCTTAGAAACAGCTGCCTATAAGGCCACTGGCTGGCATCTGAGAACCACCTGGGAAACAGTTCCAAGACATAAAACTTTTCCTAAATGATAAGGGAGGCTTATTGTGTAAATAATGCAATTTATGCTGAACACCTGCATTCCTTCTGGGAGTTTAGAATTTTGAATATGTGCTCAGGAAAGAGTGCCTATATGACCAGCACCTAATAAAAAATCTTGGGTGCTGAGTCTCTAGTGGGTTTCCCTCGGCAGAAACATTGCACACGTGCACTTGTGTTGCTAGGAGAAGACTATGACCTCTCATGAGGAGAAAACACAAGAAAGCCTGCACACAGATGCCTCTAGACCTTACCTGTGCCTTTCTCATATGATCCATCTGTATCTCAGACCTTACCTGTGCCTTTCTCATATGATCCAACTGTATCTCAGACCTTACCTGTGCCTTTCTCATATGATCCAACTGTATCTCAGACCTTACCTGTGCCTTTCTCATATGATCTATCTGTATCTCAGACCTTACCTGTGCCTTTCTCATATGATTCATCTGTATCTCCTTTTTACATCACTGTAACAAATCTTAGTTGTGAGTACAATTAAATGCTGCCTCAGCTCCAAACATGGGGGTAGCCCTGGGGACCCCTGACAAAGCATGTATACTAGAAAATGGTTTAAACTTGAACACTTCACATAACAAATCTACAACTAAAATTCCAAAACAGTAAAAGTAATAATACGCTAGGACTTTAATCTCTCCATAAGTTTATTCTGTTTAGTCTTCCATAACATCTACAGAGACTAAATAATTATCTAGATATGTTTATTCTGACCCAGGATCTCAGTGGTCTACAATGGAATGGTGTCTGATAGAAATGTTTTAGCAATATGTATGGTAACCAAGTACTAAAAGAGACCAGAACTTCGGACTACTGATGTTCATTTGCTCCAAATAATTTCAATTAAACATGACTACAACACTAAGTATATTTTTTAAACTCTTAAATGAAGAATTCCTAATATTCTCATTTTTCTCTAAGAAATAGACAATATAAGAGAAATATAAATTCAAGGGTGGTCAAAAGTAGGTTTGCAGTTGTTCATATGGAAAATAATATAATAATTAATAATAATACAAGAATAAACTGTGTTTTGTTTATACTCACAACTGTAAACCTACTTTTGCCCACCAAATATAAAGAGAAGGCTTAAATGGCATTCTTTTTTTTTTTTAATCCTCACCCGGGAATACTTTTTTCATTTTTTGTTCAGATAGAGCAGGAGGGAGAGAGAGAGAGAGAGAAATATCGATGTGAAAGGGACACATCGAGTGGCTGCCACCCGCACGACCCAACCAGGGCCAGGGACAAACTGCAACCGAGGTACATGCCCTCAGCGGGAACTGAACCCGGGTCTCTCTGGACCGTAGGCCCACACTCTAACTGCTGAGCAAAACCAGCCAAGGCTTAAATGGCATTCTTTATTCACAGTAACAAAATCAATAATAATAATAATACATCAAAAGCCAGTTTTTTTGTTTTTTTTTTCAATGAACTGAGTTGAATTATTGGGAAAATACTGAATATCTATATTGTGAATACCCCACATATTTTTAAAAAAATGGTAGTTTTAAAAAAAAGGATAAGAAAGACGTTCACATTTAGAACTGGCAGAGGTAATATGATTACCCTCCCACTAAGAACTATAAAAGCAAAAAAATGTAGTTTTCAAAATCTGTTTGACACTATGTAAGAGCTAACAAGGAAACAACATCCAGGAAAATAAAGAAAATTAGAGAAGTCAAGACCACAATTTGGGGAAGCTTCCCCCAATGGCCTCTACCAATTCTAGAGGCAGGTGAAAAACTGAGTAGAGCTTTTGACAACCTTACAGGGCTAGAGAAGAAAACTGGAGTCCAGAGCCCATTAAGAAGGGAACTTTGAAATCCCCCGATACTTTGGATTATAGATCTGAAGGTCTACACTCTAAAAGTTACGGTGAACTGCAAACAGACCAGCCATCATAGGAACTAAAAGCCAATTTTAAATCATCTCAATATGAAAATAATCCAGGATTGCTCATATACATAATCAAAAGCCAAAAGCAAATACAAATGCTATTTAGAAGAAGATATTATCATACTAAGGCTCAAATTATATTCTTCATATATAACGTTTGGTATCCAATAAAAAATAATGGACAGAAAAAAAAAAAACAAGGAACCATAATAGAAAAACCAAAAGAAATAAGAACTGACAGAAAACCCATCCGAAGATCCAGATAATACACTTATCAGATATAAACTTTAAAATACTTTAAAATAACTATGCTTAGCATATTTGGAGAAATGAAAAAACAATTTTGAGAATTAGACGGAAAATTGGAAACTACAAAAGAAGAAACCTTTCTAGAACTCAAAAACTCAGTAGGTAGCTTTAACAGCAGACTACATACAGCTGAATAGAGAAGTGGTGAATGAGAAAATAAAAGAAGCATAGAGGTGAAAGGAAGGCAAAGCAGGAGACTGTAAGAAAAAGAGGAAATGTTGTCAGAAGGGTTAACATACTTAAAACCAGAATTCTAGTGGAAGAAAGTTGGTCCAAAGCAATACCTAAAATGATAAAGTCTGAGAATTTTCTGAAGCTTATCAAAGATTAAATTATAAATTTAATACATCTTAAAAACATCAAGAGCCCTGGCCAGTTTGGCTCAGCGGTTGGAGTGTTGGCCTGCGGACCAGACAGTCCTGGGTTCAGTTTCCGCTAGGGGCACGTACCAAAAAAAAAATTAATAAAATAAAATAAAAACATCAAGATACATTTTTTAAAAACCACTTTGAGGCACACTACTGCAAAATTGATGAAAACTAAAGATAAAAAAGAATCTTAAAATCAGAGAACAGGTGGAAATAACCTGCAAAAGAGCAACAACTGGATGATGGGAAAGTTTTCATCAGGAAAAACAGAAGCTAGGAGTCAACATAAAAGCAAAAAGGGAAGGGGGGGACATCTGTAATACTCCCAAAAAGAAAAGATTAAATAAATAAATGCAATAAAGGAAAATAACTGCCCACTTAGAATTCTATACGCACATCAAGAATAAGAAATAGTCTCAAAGGATAAGAGATCTTTCTTTCTTACAGCTGCGTAGTACTCCATTGTGAGAAAGAAAGATCTCTTATGCTTTGAGACTACGTGGAGGGACCTTGAAAATATCATCCTAAGTGAAATAAGCCAAACAGAGAAAGACAGGTTTCATATGATCTCACTTATTTGTGGAATATAATGAACATAACAGTCTGAGGAATGGGGTAGTCCCAGAGACGCGGAAGTGGGGTACAGACACAATTCCCTAAAGAGAGGGGTGGTGGGGGAGAGATAAACCACAGAACTTATATGCATGTATGCATGAACAGTGGACATGGACAACAAACTGGGGAAAGTGCAGGGAGGGAGAGGGAGGGGAGAATCAGTGGGGGGAAAAGGAGAAACATCTGTAACAAAAATTAATTAAAAAAAAAAAAAGAATAAGAAATAGAGACTTCCGCCCTGGCCGGTTTGGCTCAGCGGTTAGAGTGTCGGCCTGCGGTACAGAGAGACCCGGGTTCGGTTCCCGCTAGGGGCACGTGCCTCGGTTGCAGTTTGTCCCCGGCCCTGGTTGGTCGTGCGGGTGGCAACCTCTCGATGTGTCCCTTCACATCAATGTTTCTCTCTCTCTCTCTCTTCCTCTCTCTCCCTCCCGCTCTGTCTGAACAAAAAATGCAAAAATGTCCTCCG